GAAATGAATCTAAAACATGCAGTACTAATCGAATAACGTATATACAGTATCCAGATAATTACGTCATATCAATATTATCCCTAAGAAATGATTTTTTCGTAGATTGAAACATCCTGGTTGAAAATTCTTTCTTTTCTTTCTCTATATATACTAATTGACCTGTTTATCCGAGCAATATCTTTTTCTTATGTTATGAATGAATAACAATCTTATTATAGAAAAGAAATAGCAGTAAGAGAAATCGTAGAGCATAATTTATATTTAACGGTGAATCTCGATGATTGCGTTATTACGGAGCCATCGGTCCGTGAACTTTTGTAACAGCCTCTAACTCAACGGAAACTCGATGAAATTCTATTCAGAAGGCAATGCACGATATACCGTTCCAAATGGCTCCTCTAGAATCCTTCGTTTCCGTACCTTTCGCAATATATGTACACACATATCACTTAAGAGCAATGATTATCCAGTAAAAAAAAAGGGTAAAAAATTAGAAGAAAATTTTCTAAATCATTCGTTCTCTATCGTAAAAGTTATTATTAGAGATTTCTCTAATCTCTGTTCCTTCCTAATATTATTATATTATACGTATCTCGCATTAAAATCACGAACGATCTTCAATTCTCAGCGTTACGATCAGGAGCGGCTCGTGCACGACTACTGTGCTATTACAGCACTTTCAATTTTTTTCTCCCCATACTCAAATATATTTATTCATTTGTTTATATTTTTTTTATAACTTTTTATTTTTATTATCAACGATCTTTTCCAATTTTATTCATGTTAGTATAAATAATGATAAATATCTATTTTTTCTAGGTTAGAGTAACGCAGTGGTTTTTGTAAATTAGTTTAACTGTATTTTATATTTCGATCGAAATAAAACAAGACAAATGGATTTTATTTATAAGCAGTTTCGAATTATATTAACATTTATAATTTTGGCGATATTAGACATTATTTTTCCATGAAACAAAACTAAACGAGAAATTTATATTTTATTTTAAAGTCATTTTGAATGATCTATAACAAAAAAATTTTCAGTTTTGTTTTAATTTTAAACATAATTTTGAAATTTTGACCAAATACGTATGTATTGTAGGAATATTTGTAAAATTGACAGTACACCCTATGGTTTAAAGTTATGAGCCGCCACTGTTGACGGTAAACCTTTCCAAATAAGGACGACAGAAAATTGTTCTAAAAACATGTTGTTTGCCATTTAATACCGGTTTATTTGTTGCTAAAATATGCGAAATGTCTTACGTCAAAGATGTCTTGCGTCAAAGATAGATAATAAATTTAACGAAAACCAACGTTTCTCATTTGTAATATTTTTTCAACAATAAATTCTTACAAACTCAACTAAATATTTCAGAGTAGATACAAACTCCGTTCATACAATTATTTGAGAAGTTATTTTGAGTAAGCAAAAATAACTAAGAGATTTGATTGTAGAAAGAAAGAAAGGATTAGTTTCGTTGGTGTAGGAGAGAGAAGAAAAGTATACGTGCTTAGAATTTTACGATAGGATTCTCTTCCTGATTTCCCAAGAACCGTCAGCGATGATTATGTTTTATGTATAAAACTCTACGGAAAGTTTAATTGTCCAATGAGAATTCAATAACTCGCACGATTTACATATATTTCGTTCTAACTTTAAATTACATATTTACACAAAATTGAACTTAAGGTTGACATAACTGAGAAATTTATAAAAACTAAAATTTAATAAAAAATGGAATTATTTAAATTAAAAAAGAAAAAGAAAATATCAATTTCTTAAAAATAAGCTTATATCTGATTATATTTTTATTTTTATTATATTTTTATTGTAGTAAAAAAAATAAATATCTAAAACAACCTAACTTGGAAAAGATTGAATTTGATTTAAAAGAAAAAAAGATGGACGTAATTTCCAAATAAAATTTAATTTGAGTAGCAAAACTCGCAATCAATATCAAACTGATATAAATAATATAATAACTAAAACAAATTTCAAATAACAAAAATACATAACATTTGTAATTAACATTGTAAACAAAAGCAATAGCATTAAGTGTAGATTTGTGATTAACAATTAATAAACCTGTTATTGGATCTTTTGAAATAAATATTACATTAAACTCAAATTTTGAAAAAGAAAACTCCATTGTACATTCCTATCTCTTTCTTTTTCTATTTTTTATTATAATCGATGCTAAGGTGAACAGGATAAAGAAAGGACTTGAGGAGGGAAAAAAGTACAAAGTCTTTTTTACACGGAAGAATGCGCAGCATTTTCTCCGCGTTGCACTGCATTATTGATGGAAGGAGGTGCATCACGAGGCTCAGAACGATTTTATTCTCGTTTCTGTTTTCTACGGGAGAAATTACGAAGCCGATTTGGCTCGTTCTCCTTTATCCTTCTTCTTCTTCTTTTTCTTTCCTCTTTCAAAACGATCAGACTAACGTATGTTTCTTTCTCATTTATTGTGCGTGACGCGTTCACGTGTTTGTCGCGAAGGGTGGAACGGAAGAGAATTATCGTGCTGGCTGAGAAGAAGGGAGGATTGGCCGGTTCTTTGCTGGCAAAGAAATATCGTTTCTTCTATCAACTCAATTACGTTTATTTTCCTGATCGATAGATCGCAATCGCGATCACGATGGCTCATGTTTCATGGAAGATTCTTAGAATCGATCGATGTTAAAAAAAACAAGGCTTCAATGAAACCATACATTTTTATTAAAAAATGTTATTTTGTAAATTTTTAACTTTTTTTTATATATTCTTTTCTATTTGAAGTAACTTTTGTACATTAACACCTTAATTATATTATATAAATACAATTTTTACTGTTATTTTTTATATTTTATTGATAAATTTTTGATAAATTTTTTAAAGGAGTATTCATTTTTTAATACATATTTTAAAGTAATACATACAAATCAAAACTATTTTTCATTTACTAATTATTATTTGAGAAATTAAAAATGGGTTAAATACAGATGAGTAAGGAACTTTTTTTCACTATCAAAGGGTTGCGTTGTATTTTAAATTTCCCGCTAAAAATAGATATAAATTTTGCAATTGTTTTCAACATGGAATTAAATAGATTAGCGTGAAAAACAAATGTAGTCAATTCATGGTAAAAAGTTGGCAAGTCCGTCTTGCTTGCTTTTTCTCCATTCACGTGGTTTACAAGAAAATCTTGTTCACGATGATCCACGGGATTCTATTTCGATCGCGGAAACATTTCTCTTGTAGAATAGAAGCCTGTTCGAGACCATTGACGCGAAACGATAGGAAAACATCAGATGGCACGTCAATCATTCTCGCGGTGTCCAGTGCCAAGGCCTACTTTGTTACGTCTTTTTTTTTATTTTTCACTCATCGAGTTCTAATTCATCGTGTTAGTCGTCGAGTGAAATCCGTTTTATTGTCGTTTCCAACCGTAAATTCTTTAATGCATGTTCAAATTGGGCGCGTCAATTCTTCCAAAAATTTTCCGAAGCTATAATTGGCCGCACCCCTACCACTTAGAGACGTTTTACTGAGCCATTTTCCGAAAATGTTTACTCTATTTTCTTGCTGAACATATATTTGGAAAGAAATAACGGATCACCCATTTTTCGCATTACAAAGATCCTTCTAACTGCGAGCAAGATTCGAGCACACATTTTTGGAAGGCATAAAGGATCAGCCATTGTTCAGCTCGTAAAAGCGAACGAGATGAATAAGTATATCTGTTTTCAATTATAAGCCATTTATTTACCAATTATATTAACATAACATCGTTCTAAAATATTACAACATAAAGTGACGCCTTCGGCTAGTTGTTCGATAGCATGCAGCACTAGCATTATAACCGATACTACGGGTGACAACCAAGCCAATTATTGTTAGCAATATCGATTAATTCATCAGAGACTTACATATGTAAGAAGAAATGAAAGTATGACGCTTACGCGGACAATGTCATAACGGATTTACGTAATAACTCATCATAAACATGTGCGAATGATGTCGAGGACACGGATATAATGTGTGAGTTCCTTATTTAATTAATTGTTGAATGAATTTTATAAAGATTGAAAAAATTCGTTAAATATTTCACAAAAATAAAAAAGATTCCATCTAACCCGATAAAACTTTTCATTTCGGTAATCTAAATAATATAAAAAAAGAAATTAATAATTATTCATAATTCGAATCCAAATGATTTGATTTGGAAATAATTAATCAATCGTGGAGTTGTTTTTGATACCACAAAAGGATGTTAAAATTACGTAGGTAATACCATGGCTATTAATTGCACCGTGGACCTTGAAACGATGATAATAATAGGGGAAGTGAAATTTAGCGGTACATGTTGTTATTTTCTTTTGAAAAAGTCCTCGCAGTTAATGTAGCAATAGTAATTATTACATTGATCGTATTTATAAAGAGACAGAACAGTGAAAGCGGACATATAAAAATATCCTTTTCTTTTATATGTCATGTTGGAAATAATAAAAAAACATATCTTCTAATTGGATTCTTTTTATGAATCTCGGACTTTTTTTTTTGAGAATATGTATAACACGATCGTTATGGTGTTATATATTAATTACTATATGAGTCGCTCGGAAACCAATGCGGGTTCAAAAAAAATACAGATTAAGAGAATTAATGTTTTGTAATACATTGGTTTTTTAAATCTTTGGTTTATTAATTTGATCCGGAAACTATATAAAGTCTTATTTCAAAGGGCAATAATTAAGTACGTCTAATTTTTATATGCATTTATTATTACTATGTATTTATTTATTATTTCCTTATTATTACGTAGGTATTCATTTATTTATAAACTATCCAGAATAATAAATTGCTTACTTAAATCACTTTATTGGTAAAGGCAAGTTTACGTATAATAAGTACTTAATAGTAAAACACTATAATTATTCAGCAGCCATTATTTTGTTAATTATTATACAAATATCTAATAATTAGACAATAAGGATAAATTTCATTTACTTACCAACATCGACAATGTGTTGAAGAGTCGGGAAACGTCTTTTAACCCTTAGCGAAATCCTCTGAAGGGTGATAACATAAGCCAAAACGGCATATCTCACGATATTCCGCCTCATCAGTCGACCTCTCTCGTCCTGAAACACATAATCCGTTTCTCTCAATAAAAATAAACATATTCATTTCACATTTAAAACAATTTTTTGAAGTGAAAACTCCTTTAGAATCGGGGTGAATTAGAAATCGTAAAACGGAAATACGTCATAAAAAGAGACAGACATATATAGGATTTAGCCTGCGAGAGAATGAGATAGAAGACAGTATACATTTGTTCCTTATTATCTCGGCATCTCTTTCTTTATGTGGTGCCTCGTAAACTACCTACTGTTGTCTACTGATTGTAAGCGTTGTACAATTTGTGCTAGTGTACGTCTGCATATTGCCGTACATAGTATGTATATATTTATATTGCTTTGCCTATTACTTGATTTGGTCTGAGCGTTCCACGTGTATAGGTCTGTACGTATGTATGTTTGTACGAGTTTAGTATTTATTTTTTCTTTTTTGAAGTGAAAACTTTTTTAGAATGGGGGCGATTTGAAAAAAGCAAACGAAAATCGATGTAATCGGGTACGGTACTACAAGAGAATAATGGTAAGGAAACGATTAAACGGCCACGATACTAAGTAAGAAGAGAAAAAGAGACAAACATATAGGATTGAGCCTGCTAGAGAAAGAAACAGAATATAGCTATATAATTTTTCCTATTCTCGGTCTCCTCTTTATGCGTTGCTTCGTTATCGCTCCTGGTTGTATATTGTGTGTTGTGGCGACTGCATACTACGAAGCGTAGACTCATATCATCTCAATACTAAATTAGTCTAGTGGCCAGTCGAAGAACTAACTTATGTTTTTAAGTTACTTAATGAGTTTCTTACGAGCAAAGTTCTTTCATAGTCTGTACATAAGACTCCAGCATTAGACAAATTGAAGATCCTTTTTTACAGGATGATATTTGTAATATATCATCAAATCTTCTCAGCGTAAGGCTAAGTCGATGCAACTTTTTGTAAAAGTTGTAGCTCTTCTTTGTTATAGTAACAACGATTCCGAATATTTTTTGTAAAATGATAGGTTGTTTGCACCTTTTACTTCATATGGGGGAACCAGAAGAAGCAGAGCTTTCACAGTAAATATTAAACAAACATTTAAAATTGAATACATTTTTAATAATTAATAGTATTGAACTCGAATAAAAAAAATTTCATAAAGTAGAAGTACACCGACTGTACAACCGGATGTTTGTACAATGTACCTGCTGTAAAGATGTACCTGCTATTTGTGCCAATTGTGGCGAAGACCATCTAGCAAATGTAACCAATATGTAAAGTATGTCAAAGAAGACTCAATCTGTTTACAAATAAAAACAATTGTACTAATGTCCAAAATTTACAAAAAGCTAAAGGATCCATGCAAACACTCCAATTAAATAATAACAAGGAATTTACAATTTTTAAAACAAAAATACTTTTTACTAATCCATGGAACGCCACGAACATGCTATTTCAAAATAAAAATACAACAGGAAATAATACACAAAGTACATATTAAGAAAACACACTTACAAACACTATTACTAACCAAAGCTCTAAAATTACAGAACTATCTTCAGAAATTAACAAAATAAATCAGATTTCTAATCTTGTCCTTAATTAAAAGATTAGAATTAGATGTTCCATTTTACTATGACATTATTATCAACAATTTCAAGTATTTCTTAACTTCACTGAGTTATTGGAGAAACAATGAACAAACTGAAAATTTGTAGTTGGAATGCAAATGGACTAAGAGGAAGAATGGATGAATTAATAAAATATTTAGATAGAAATAAAATAGATATATTATTACTTAATGAAATTAAATTTACTGACAAGGATAAATTAAAAATTAAAAGCTATATCTGCTACAGAAAAGAATGTGATAACTCCGCAGTAGGGGTAGCTATATTGATTAAAGTTACTATCCCACATAAATTACTCAGTATTAATACTAACTTAACATTAGAAGTAATTGGAATAAAATTGTTAAGTGGTATCAACCTTATATCAACCTATAGAAGGCCTAGCGTGATTCTTAACGAACAGGATATTAATACCTTAATGAACACTGGAGAAAAAGTACTAATCGTAGGTGATCTGAATGCAACACATCTTGCCTGGAATTGCAACAGAATTTACAAGAATGAAAAAATTTTACATGATTTCGCACAAAATAATAATTGTGCAATAATTTTTCCAAATGAACCAACCAACTACCAACCCAATAATACAACACTATCAACTATAGACATAGTAATTAATAAAAATGTAAGGAATATTTCAGACGTAGAAGTACAACACGAGTTAAGTTCAGACCATAATCTAATAATATTTTACCTTGGAGCTCAGCATAAAAAATATAGAAACAAAAAATGCTACATCTACGAAGAAGCAGACTAGGAGAAATTTCGTAAATTATTAAATAACAGAGTACAAATTACATCAAAAATAACATCCTCACAAGAAATAGATTTAGAAGTACTGTACAAAAACTTACAAATAATATTAACTATTGTGTTTAACAAACTATTCCTATTAGACAAGGAATATTAATGATAGACTGCCTTGTGATATACTAGATTTAATTAAGAGTAGAAATAAGATAAGGAAAAGGTAGCAACGAACTCGAATGCCACAAGTCAAAATGGAGTTATATGAAGCAAATAGGACTATTAAGAGAAAAATAAGAGAATATAGAGATGAAAAATGGAATAAACAACTTCAAAAACTTAATCCCAAGGATAACTCTCTCAGAAGAATGACAAAAATCTTTAAGACAGAATACAATACAATACCTACGCTGGAGAAAAACGTTATTGAGGCTGTAACAACAGAAGCAAAGGCTAATCTACTGGCTATATTACACAGTTAAAAAATGTGTACAATATTAATCTTACAAACAATACAACAGCGCAGGAAAATGTTATAGAAACAGTAAAGAACTACTTGAAAACTACAGTAGTTAGAGAAGCTCATAAATACTACACCAACCCTAAAGAAATCACTCAAGAAATAAATAAACTACCTTCGAAAAAAGCGCCTGGATTAGACAGTATAAAAAACATAATTCTTAAAAATTTACCAAAGAAATAATAGTACAAATAATGTATATAATAAATGCTTCGATAAAATATGCTCACTTTACATCTCACTGGAAAACTGGACTCGTAACTCCTATACTTAAGCCTGGTAAGAAGGCAACGACCTAAGCAGCTATAGGCCAATTTGTTTACTAAATACTCTAAGTAATCTAACAGAAAAAATAATATTAAGACAATTCCATAATCACGAAAGTAAACATGAAATCTTAATAGATGATCAGTTCGGATTCAGACAAAATCACAACACGGTACAACACGTTACAAGAATAGTAAACTACATTAGTATCAAATTTAACAGAAATAAGGTAACCGTGATGGCATTGCTTCACATAGAAAAAGTCTTTGATAAAGTTTGGCAATATGCTGCATTTTATAAAATGATTAAATAGAAGTATCCGGACGTCCTTATTAAATTTATACACTCCTATCTTAAAGATAGACACTTAATAGTAACAGTGGACAGTGCAAAATCTACTAAACGTAAAATCAGAGTAGGCGTACCACAAGGATCAGTTCTTGGTCCTAAGTTGTTTATCATCCATATAAATGACATACCAAAATTTGAAAAAACTAATACTGCTTTATTCGCCGACGATTTAGCCATATATTCACGCTCATTCTCAGCAATAGTAGCAGCGAAACAATTGCAAATACATATCTCCATATTAGAAAAATACTACAGCAACTGGAAAATAAAAGTAAATGAAACTCTAACAGAAGTAATTATATTTAATTATTTTTAATTATATTTTTACAGTATATGGCCATCCGATCGTACCCGTACACTCAGTGAAATATTTAGGAGTCTACTTCGATAGTAAACTAACATTTCATATGCATGTGAAACAAATTATAACGAAAACATATGCATTAATGAAAAAATTATATCCACTGTTATTAATAAACTCACCACTATCGTCTTCAAACAAGAAACTTATATATAAAACAATATTAAGGCCTATAATTATATATGCTTACTTGTCTGGTGCAGTGCAGCTAAAATACAAATAATGAAATTACAAATATTACAAAACAAATGCCTCAGATTGATACTTTCTGCAAGCAGATGCACCCCAATTATACACCTACATGAAGAAATTAATATAGAATATATCGATGACTATATTAAACAACTAGGAGAAAGATTTTATGAAAATAAATTAATGTGTAATAAACTACTACAAGGTATCACTAAACTAAGAAGCTACAATATGCCTTTTGTACATAAACATAAATTATCTTATGATAAACTACATATGAGCCGTTTATTTTGAAAGTGGTCTAAGTCCATTTATCTTAAAATCGAGATATTTAAGGGTTTGCGTTTCAATGAATTTAAAAATATACGTACAAGATACTAACGAGTTATACTGCTTAAGTGTATCTAAAGGCTTCAAATTTATATTTCCTATTAAAATAGTGGCAATTATTAAGTAATTAATATGCGTTTTCTAACCACGAATGGAGATAGGCCACTTTCAAAATTAACAACCAGATTCATTATAAAATTTGAAGGTGCCCAAGTCCATTCAACATAATTTAAGATGCTTCAAATTGAAAAAAAACAATACTGAATTTATTTTACATATCCTTAAAACACTTCAGGAACATAATTTATGCGATTCAATTAACTACATAACGTGCAAAATTACAAACATAAATTTATTACAAAACAATTTACTACTCATCTACATTTTGTGCGTGTGAAAGGGATTTGAAGTAATCATGATGTTCCGGTGGTATATATCGTAATAGGTCCATTATGTCCTTGAATTTTGCTGTTGTAATTTGTTTGATATTTTTATACAGTGGTGTCATACAATATTTTCGAACTTTTTTGGTCTACCCCGATGTGGTAATAAATTCAGGACTTAAAAATTTTCATTCTTATTCATTGATGTCTTATAGAAAATTTTATACGGTTCATTTCTGACAAAA